TGCGGTCAGAAAGATATGAAGCAATGAGCGTTATGGCATTTTCAGAGAGACCGTATAAATGTAATTTCTTGAGTAGCAAAGAATGATTGAGGAGATCGAAAGCTTTAGTTAAATCAAAATGTATACTCATTATAGGAAGTTTTTTTTAAAAGGCGGTGAGAACTTTGTCTATAAGTTTATACAGAGCATGGGTGGTAGATAAACCCTTTCTAAAGCCAAACTGGTGATGATATAGTAGGTTATTAGACTCAAAGTGGCATAGAAGCTGCTTAAATAGGATTTTTTCGAATAGTTTGCTTATTGTAGAAAGAACAGAAATAGGTCGATAGTTAGATACATCCTGCCTGGAACCCTTTTTAAACAAAGGAGTTACATTGGCAGATTTCAAGCAGTGCGGTAACACACCTGTTCATTCATTACATTACTACATTCATTAATCAGCACAAGGAGATGCTCACCAATGATAGGAAAATAGTCACGAAAGAAAAATGGGGGTATACAGCCATCTGTATCAGCTTTGTTTGGCTTGAGACTACAGACACACGAGTATAGCTCATTTAGCGTTATCTGGGAGAATGTAAAGGTTGGAGGGGGGTTTTGTAGGGACTTTTTTGTCATCTCAAGAGTCTTAAAATGAGCTAAATTACTTGGAAATGTATTATGCAGGGAGGTGAGATGTTCATTGAAAACATTAGCTATTTTAGCAGGATCAGAAACAATCACCCCATCACAGCAAACAGCATCAATTAGCGAATTGTTATTAGTACTTGGGGTTTGGTCCTTTAAATTTTCCAAGTGGTAAAAGATTTGTTCTTGGAGTTCTTAATCATTCTCTCAACATTTTTACGCTTTTCTCAATAAAAAGACTTTTTAAGTAACTTATTAGTTTTAATGAAGAGCTTTTTATATTTAAGAAGACCAGTAGTTTTATACACTGAATGATATTCTTTCTTACGTTCACTGAGTGAATTGAGGGTATCATTTTTTAACCTCCTGGAAGAAAATGACTTTACTGGGCGAAGAGGACAACATAGTTCAATAGCAGAGTACAGGCCTCTGATAAAATGTTCTACTGAATTATTTACATTTCCAAGTTGAAGGTCAAGAGTGGAGCAAAAGCAATGAAGTTGCCCAGTTAGACCCAGACAGTCCTCTTCAGACCAGTGTCTTTTAAAACGCTTATTATTAATATAACTAGATTCGGTATCGATGGAAAATGAGACAATTTGACCTCGATGGTCTGAGAGCCCTGGATCCCATGTTACAGAATCAATGGGACGAGAGCTACAGAAACAATTGTCAAGCAAGGTGGCAGAAATTTTAGCTACCCTGGAAGGTTCATCACAAAATATGGGTCGAAGGTTGAATTCAGAGAGCGAGTTACAGAGAGATAACATCTTTACACTGTGGATCCAGAAAGTCGATATTAAAGTCACCTGATAGACTATAATGACAATTCATTTCGTGTAAGGTACTAAGTACTGCTTCTAATTTTTCCAACATAACATCAAAATCGCCAGTAGGCAGCCTGTATATTGATAGAATAACCCACGGCTTTTTAAGACGAATATTATTAAGTTTATGTACTGAGATAGCCGAAGTTTCAAAGTGATGCTCTACAGAGTGGGCTTCAAAAATTTGAGGACAAGAATACTTAATAGTTGGCTTGACATAGATTGCAGACCCCCCTCCTCTTGAAATTTCTCTAGCCTTGGAGTCAGCGCAAATGTAATTGGAGAGGGGAATAGCGCTATCTGGCTAAAACCAAGTTTCTGTAAGGCAAATAATATCCGGCTCGGACTTTAATTTAGACATCTCATGAGCAAGAAGATGAGTTTTTCCAATTTTTCGGAGGCTTTGAATATTTAGATTAAGTAAATGGAATTTAGGCGAATTTATACTCTTGATACGGTTATTTTCAGATGTCAAAATTTCAGAGCGCAGAAAATTAACATTTCGATTGTCAGAAGAGTTTAGTTTAAATGAAAGTTGAGGAATGACGTCATCTCAAGCGCCATCAAGCGTTTGAAATTTTCTTTTACATATGAAGTCCGTCCTTGCAATAATCATTCCCAATAGCATAACACATCCTATTGAAAAAGGTACAATTTTCATTCTTTTGTCCTAGGTCAAATAAACTTAAATTAAAATCATAGATTTGTTCATTAATAGCATCAGAGGGTGCTTTGTTCCTCCTATGGGGTACCGCAGAAACAATTACATTTGTATGTTTATGCCTAGCTGCAAAGGAAATGATAGGATGATTGGCTGCACTTATACTATCATGGTTTCTGCTACTTTTCTTATTAACGTCACTGGAACCCGAAAGGATTAGTACACAGTCATTTTTGGGTAGGCCAGGAAAGTCTGCACTTGCAAGTATTTTATTTGAACCCGCACCTGGGTGTACATATGATTCTATGGCAAAGTTTGTTGTGTTTAAGTGCAAATGCTTGGCAAAATTTCTAGAGTGACTATCACCTAGGATCATTATTTTCTTTTTACCCTTCCTTGCCTTGGCACTTTCTTCCTTTAATTGATTTAACCTACCAACATTAAGGACTACCTGTTGAAACGCCGTCGAATTTCCTGTGTCCCTAAATTTTTTAAATATAAAAGTGTTTCTCAGGCTGAACTCCAATTTTTGACTCTGTTTTGGCTTTTTTGATTTTAATTGCTTAAGTATGCCTCTGTTTGCTTTTTGAAGGAAATAATTGTCGGAATTTACCTTGCTTAGGTCATTTTTTAGCGTGTCAATTTGGTCTAATAACATTTTGTTCTTTTTGATTAAGCTGTTTTTTGAAAGATTTGACGAGTCCTCTACTTTATTTACATAATGTAATTTTTCATTCAAAACCCTTATCTCCTCTTTTAAAATTGTTAACTCATCGATCAACATTGAGTTCTCATGCAAAGAAGAACTTAATTTATTTTTGGTATCTATAAGCTCATTATTTAAAGCATCCCTTTGCACTTCTAGATCGAGCTCAAGACTAGTTTGAGTGCTCATTGAGGTTGTGACAGGATTACTAGTATTACAATTTACTATCACATTTGGAGTCGCGTTGCTTTGGTTTTGGAAGAAGAAGTAGATTTCATCCGCTTAGAAGAACACGATGGAAGACTTCGTAATGAAAACGTTGGTGAAGCAGTTGTTTTTGTATCACCGTCAGTTGAAGGGGCCAGAGACTTAGAAGATGAGGCCGCATTTCTTTTCTGCTATTATTGCGGGCTGCATTCGGAGAGGCTTGACTGTTAGGTGTCACTGATGCGACCTTTGGTACCGGCTTGGACGTTATCTTCTCACCCCTTGTGATCTTTCGGCCAGCGGTTGAGAGTGACAATGGAGAAGGTGAGGGCCTGTTGGCGCTGAAACTGCTTTTCTTATCAGACTCCAACTCCTTGTTCGCGTTGCTCCTTAGTGCATATGCTCCATTTCGTGGCGACATTGTCTCAGTCGGAATATTCGCCGTCGATAATCCAGCGAACGATTTAATAGTATTAGTGATGGTCGCTGATATCATCATGCCGTGAGTGTACGTAGTGTATTTCGAGACTTCGATAGGATCGACTTTACGTTCCTAAGGATGTTTATGTTTTAGCTTCTATTGACATTTTTCACATTCTTCAAATTCTTTAGAAGTGGTGCGCAAGCTTGTGCTACGAAGAATTTCAGCGGAATTCCACAGTAATTAGCATGAACAGCAAAATCTTTTAAACCAGTACCTTAACTTTCAATCAAGAACACTGCAGTAATTTTATCCGAACAGTTTACGGACACACCTTGACTTCAACTCGACATAGACATGATAGACATGAAAACTCGTTTATAACTTCACGCACGGATGAAAATCACGGAAAATTCGCACAGTATCATGAGGCTAAGATACTGACGAGTAACTTCATATAAAAATCAGTTCAAAAGACGCCCGAATGGCACACTTTTCACAATAAAAACTCGGAGCGTCACAGAGACGCGTTGGAATTATTTTCGCGCATGTGGTCACTTAACCAGGCTTAACCAGGTTCAGAAGAATTCTTATGTAATTTTGGTTACTAAATCCGAATTTTTCGGTTCCCCAAAGATTTTCCTTGTGCCAACTCCGGAAAATTGAAAAACCGTTTTTTTTTCTGAATAGCTCCGATGTAGTGCAATATATTGCAAAAATAAATATTTCCGGAATTAATTAAAGCTACTGAAATTTGAACCGAACCGAAAAGTTTTAGTATGGGTCCAAAAACTGCTGCTAGAGCGGGAAGAATCTCCAAAAACGTGACAAATCGCACTTTTTCGTCTTTTGTCAATGTATCTTTGTACCCGTGCAATGTATTAAAAAAGTAATTATTTCCAATATTAAAGGTTGTAAAATTATACTCTAGATTCTTGTGGAAAATTGTACAGAAGGTCTAATGGCACCAGTATCAGAATGGTGGATAGCTCTAAAATGCACGAAAATAGTGTTTTTCAAGGTTTCTTTTTTCCCTTTCCATGCTACCTGTATATCCTGGAAAGATTTGATGGAAATGAAAATTGATGAAATTTGCTTCATTTAGCATCCTCTATGATTTCAATATGAGGACACTGCTAAAGAAGCAGGCCTGCGTTATATAGTCTTGAAAGCCCGTCTTTGAAATTATAGAGAAAGTTTGCTTGGGCAAAATTTTTCCAGTTAATTTAAACAAAACATACGAGGACATGACTTAGAAGCCCAACAAAGCAAAGATGCAAAAGCCTGGTTTCCGGATTGGGTTCAGAAATCATCCAGAAAGTCCAAAACTTACGGAAAATTGGAATATTTTAATGACAATATTGTTTCTGACTTTGCATTTGCACCAGGATCTGCAAACAATATTGTTACTTTTTAATAAATGTGTAGCTACTTGGTACACGAAAAACTTGCAACGATCTTTAATTCTTGTATTTTAGAACAAAATAATTTGTAAATAAGTTTGTGAGGAATAAAACAATGAAGTTTAGTCAGTTTTGATGATCATTTTACCTAAAAAATGGGCAACATTGTTTGGGCAGCCCTGGTCTGCCCAATCTGTATACTCCAAATGCCAAACACCACGTGCCCTCCTACTTGCACCAGCTTCATGAACTCGTAATCGGGTGGTGATACAGTGCCCTGATTCTTGAGAGAATTGTTTCTGAATTTCGAACTAAATAATAAAATAATGATAAAACAAAGTTTAAAATTATTAAGTCAAACAAAGATCATGATCCTTCATCAGGCAGTGCCTCTGCTAGAGGCAGATAATTTGATACGAGCCACTGCAGACTCTCAGCTTCCCCAATGCTCCTGTCACCAGATAACTATTGTCAAGCATGCAGTTAGTTCCTGAGGTGGTGAGCTTTTTCAATAAAAGTGAGCTACAGCATAGAGATTACCGTTGGTTTTCACTGAGTCCTTATTCCTTACAAACAAATCAAGGAGAATCCAAGATTTCACACAAATTGCACTCTACCGTATAAAATAATGAGCATAAGGCGTAGCACATAATGCTAGGCGTGTCTACTACGGCCAATCCTTCCACTGCATCTCTCCTCCCTGAGCATTTTGTGCCTACTCATTCCACTACCCCTTCTTATACAGAGCTCTTACTCCAACGAACCTTTTCCTTCTGCCTTTTAGCCACTTTTTCCTCTCACCATTTACCGTTTTCTAATCATTTCAAGCCAGTTTTGTCTGCAACTTTGCGACACGTTCTTGTGTACTACCTTGTGATCTAAATCAGTTTCTTCTATTGTTTACTTTTTCAGTGATTCCAGTGATTTTTTCAGTGATTTGTGAAGTGTTCTTTACAAAATTGTTATCTTTTTCATACTAAAGTATCATTGTTATTGACTTCCTCGATAATTCTGAGCATGGATTATGAATATTTTTCATATTCTATCCCTTTCCATGGAAACTACCCAAAATGAATTCACTGCTTTGCCCCACAATTATTGATATGGTCGCCGATAGAAATTGTTCGATTAGAGCCTTTAGTACGGTCAATCTGGCATGGCTTAGGGAAAAAATTAATAATGAAGGTTTCTCTGCAGAGAAATGTTACTTTGACCCCCCTGATGAACATACTAAAAGTTCCCATAAATCTGCCTTTTGCTAACGCCGCCATTTTGAAAAACGGTGGGTTTGGGGGGTCCCGACGGCCGATTTTTGGGCAAAAAATCCTAATCATCTCGAAAACCGTTGATCCAAGGTGGAAAAAGAAGGAAACCCGGATGAAATTACATAAAATTTGCCACTAAAGCAGCCAAGTGTCAAATCTATGAATGGATTTTTCAACGAAGTTTTAAAAATGTTCTACAGAAGATCCGGATGTTAACGTACTTAACTTTCAGAATCGATTTTTCAGCTCAAAATACGACTATTTTGTCCTGTACACATATGCCCGAAAACACCTCATAAATAAGCTATACGCTTCCAACGTTGCCATTTTTTTTTCTTTCAAATTGATGTGACTCCTCGTTATTTTGTTGTAAGTAGCTGAGACTCTGAGTAGGAGGTTATTTTTTAGCGTACTGCTCATTTTTTGTGTTTACAAGAACATGCGTCTACGGAAAATGACGTTCCGAGCGTTCCCGAATTTTAAAATTTCGATAAATTTTTTGGTAGATGATATTTGGAAAAACGGATTACAGCACGTGAAAGAGCGTGAAAAATCAAGGACACAAGATACTGCCCAAAATTTTCTAGAGATGTGTCATTTCGACGCAATAGAGCTTAGAAAAAGTGTCAGATTTTCGAAGCTTCTTGCTGAAAAGGCAATTTTTCTGCACCGACTTTGAGAAAACTTGCCTGCGGAGCAAGAGGCTTTGAAAATCCCAAAGCTATTGAGACGGCTCTTGCGGCAAAAAATGACTGGGTTTAGAGAGAAAATTCAAAGAGCTGAAATGAAAGAAGACACATTTTAACAATCAGGGATCTCACTCTGGACGTTTTCCACAAAGAGGAATGGGAGGAGGAGGGGGTTCAATAGTCAGTCTTCAAGCTGCTCTGCTGCGCCTCAGCTCGTGGAGTCACACCCTTGACTGGCACCACCATGATTCCTACTCTGTCCTTCGATAACCACTTATTACACCTACTTTTAACTTTGAAACATATTTTGACCACAACAATGTTAGTGGAAAGGACTTGTGAGAGCGGGAGGGGGGCAAATTGAATACCATACATGATTGCGGAAGGCGGCTAGGCTCGGATATTATTTAAAAAAAAAAACCAGGATACAGTTCTTTTTTTTTTCCTGTTATTTAATGGCTTTGTGTCATGCACCTGCAGCCAACTTTAGACTAGTGTGTGGGTTACGAATTTAAGTTATAAGTGATTAGGTACCGAATTTATGGATGTGAGAGGTGAAAAGACATAAAACCAGGGAAAAAAGGGGGGGTTGTTAAAAAGTAGTGTTGAGGAGGGAGGGGGTGAGAACCCTTCAATAGTTTCACGCTCTGATACCCGGCAAAGCGACTTACTATGCCAAGAGACTGGGTAATGGAAAACATACAAAGTGAACATAGGGTAGAAGTTGTGTGTGAAAAAGAAAATGATTTGTTTGGAAAAAGATGGATTAAATGAGTTAGAAAATAAGACGGTTGGCAAGAGTGGAATAAAGCTAAGAAAATTTTTAATGTAAGAATAAAAGTTTGGTAGATTAGAGATGGATATCATTTTTAACTAAAAAGAGGGCTATAGATTTAAGAATATTGAGGTCACTGACCGAAAGAAGATATTGAGTTGAACAGGGTAGAAAGATTTCAAATTTATTAATAAGTTCAGGAAAAAGGGTGCCTCTATATTTCAGCTTTTCACATTGGAGAAGGATATGGTCTAAGTTTCTTATAAAACAACATTCACACATATTAGAGGTTGCTGAATTGATTCTAAACAAGTGAAGGGGGGAAAGGCCGTGACCGATTCTAAGCCTAATTAAGTTAGTAATAAGGGAACGTTTCTAGTCTAGTCTGTAAAACCATGGTTTGCGAGAAAGTGAAGGGAGAAGTGATTTTAATCTTTGACCTTTCCAGGTACATGTTTACCAGTCTGAATTCCAATCATTAAAATTTTGTTGGGAAATAAGAGGGAAAAATTGTTTAAAACAGATTTTATTATCAACTATCTGAGCTGGGTGAATCGATTTAGTCAGTTGGTTGACTCTCTCATTACCTAATATCCCTGAATGACTAGGGATCCAAACCAACCAAATATTTCTATTTTGGTGTCTAAAAGGGTTTCTTTCGTTTCTTCAATGAGGGGGTGGAGGTCAGGTCTTTGATTATTAAGGTTAACTAAGGCACTACGAGAGTCTGTACAGATTACAATATTGGATAGATTAAGACTAATGCTGTGTTTGACCGCTTGGAGAATGGCCCACGTTTCAGCTTCAAAAATAGTATTATATTCAGATAGGGATAAGACTTTGTAGGATTCATTAGAGAGAAAGGCTGAAGAGGTGTAGTCAGTCGTCTTGACACCGTCAGTATAATACTGGGTAAAGTTCCTAAACTTTGATCTCATTAATTCATTAAAGTTCAGTTGGATTGAAATGTGATCAGTTAGTTGTTTGGGAGGAATGTCTAGAAAGATGGTATTTGGTTGGAAAAATTGGAAGGCAGGATCTCTCATAAAAGAGCACGGTAAATTGCTTTGTAAGATTTTGGTTTCTAAAGTTTTTCTCAGGAACCATCTATTAAGAAAAAGTGGGTGTTGTTTATTAACGCAATAGTTACATGACATAATTGATCTCTCAAGCATCTTAATATTCCTAATGATGGGATTGTGTTTCAGGCTCATAGCTCTGATTAGGAGTTGGTCTGTTGGGAAGTTAAATCTGTTAAGGATGGGAGAGATGGCTGCCTCGGCATTTAGATAGTTAGTAGGGGTTGATCTGAGAACACTTCAGGTTTTACGAAGGCAGGAGTTTTGGAGTATATTGGTTCTTTCAATGAGATGGAAATTTCTGCAAGAGATTGGGAGGCCAAAATCAAGGATGGGCAGATTATACTGATGAAAAGTTTTGGGGAGACATCCTGGTTTATACCCCGCGAAGAGCCATGTAGATATGACAGAATGTTCAATTTGCGAGAAATGTTTAGTTTAATAGAATTGATATGAGGATGCCAGTTCATTTTCCTTGTTAATAGGAGGCCTAAATAGGTGGCTGAGGGTAGTACAGGGATTAAGAACTCATCCAGATTAAAAAATAGATTTTCAGGGAGCCTCCTAGTAGAAAAAATGATAGCTTGGATTTTAGGGAGAGATAGGTCGAGTCCTAGAGCTGTGAGAGCATTCTTAATACGCTGAAGATCTGAATTAAGTAATTTCATAGCCACTTCTACTTTTTTATGGATATTATAAACTAGCGGTAAGCTCGTGACTGAAGTCACGGGTCTAGATGCTTCACCAAAAATTTAGTTACGGGGAGCATTAGGCCGATATTGTTTCGGGGATGATGCCACTATTCGACCACATGGGAGCTTATTTTGCCTGAGTGAGCGTGCCATTTCACGACGATACCGCGATTCGACCACGCGGAAGCTCCTGTTACCTACACTGAAATTGAGGGCGAAATGAAATGAAATGACGTTAATTTATCTTCTCCAGTTTGGTGAAATGCTATTTTTAAAAAACGTTCCAAGTAATCGTGCAATTTCACGATGAAACAGCTATTCCACTATTTCCACGTTCTTATTTTATTTCAATCTCCCTCTTACTGCTTTCTTCTTTTTACTTTTCATTTCTTCTGTCTGTTTGCTTCTCCCACTTTCATTACTTATCCTCTTCTTCTCTCTAAATTTATTCTAGCTTATTTTCTTTCACTCTTCTTGTTCTGCACCATTCGTTGTTATCCTTTTTTTTCATGGTCATTATCAGCATCAGCATCATAATCATCATCCTCATCTCTCTCTTTTAGTGTTCATGTGCTCGGACGGGAAGTAAAAAAAAATAAAAACAGCTTAATGAATATCAGTTAAGAAAAGCGACTACTTTACTGACAAACGCGGTCCCGAAATGACATAAAAAAAAATTAGCAGACAGAGGACGTCTATTGCACGGACGGTGATACCACTCTTCGACCACCTGAGAGCTTGTGTTGCCTACACTGATCATTGAAGGCTAACTATCATTTCACGACGACAATACCGCCATTCAACCACGCAG